CAGGTATAAAACAAATAAGTCATGGAATGTAATGTACATATCAATAATATTGTGATGGCATAGTACAGTGTCAGATGAACTTATCATGGTGATCACTGCTTCAGGTATATAAATGTTGAATAACTATGGTGTACACCTGAAATTAATATAATATTGTATGTTAGCTATATTTTAATAAGAATCTTTTAAAAATATTATGCCTAGTTTAGAAGCTCCTGTATAAAAACAATTATAAATAGTTCACATCTAGAAAAAAATAACCTTTAAAATAGAATTTATCCAATTTACATATAAACACTTTGTGGGGAGGGGAAGGATATTAATAAGAATTTTTCGTAGTACCAACCATTCTATTTTTTAAGTGAATATGCTTTCATTTCTAGATTGCCCAGATTTTAATAAGATCAGATCATGGGAAAGGCTAGGGATTGCAAAATAAACACTGGCTGAAAATTTGGCTCATAGCACTTAGAACCCCCAGGTCTTCTCCCCAGTTTCTGTCTCTAGATGAACACATTTTGCCCCAACCCCGCAAGAGACCTGTTCTCAGAGAAAGTGAGAAGACAAAGTCCAGTTTTGGGACAGCAGGCAGAGGTGGAGGACAAGGATTAGGTTCAGGGCTGAGAACAGAAAGTAGCATCCATCCTTCCTGGCCCTGGCCCTGACCGCCTTCCTGACCTGCTCTCAGGCCCTAAGCAGTGAGGTTTTGTCATTCCACACCCATCCCTGGGGAGGAGACAGAATTTTTATGAGTTTATTTGAGCCAAACTGACTGCAATTGCCAGAAAGAAAAATTTCAACAGATTGAGAACATGCTCTAGAGAATGGCAGTTTTGCAGCTTATTTTATACATTAGAATAACAGGAGGCAACCTAAGGAGGGTTATGTGAAATCCACTAGTGGTAGATTAAGTAGGCGGAAAAAAGCAAAGTGGGGAAATCTCTGGAATAACAATGAGGGGTTCTGTGGTCTCATGTGTGCATGAGTGTGCCCTGAGGGGTCTGGAAAGGGGATTTTACTCTGACATTTCAAAGGTATGTTATCTAAGATGCAAAAAGACAATGACAGGCTTGTTTAAGGTAAAGATTGACCTTGGCCACGGAAGCTACAGACCTAGGACGTGACCCGCCATGACCCGCTTTTAGTTAGGAATTCTTATGTTCAGACCATCCTATGTGGTTACTTTTGGTCTCTGAGTTTGTAAAGCCCACCATGCAGGCCTCCCTGAGCTTGTCAGGTTTAGTATGAGGTCCCTTTTTCATCCAAATAAGGCTGCCGTGGATATTCCTGTGCATAGAGGTTTTACCGTTTTTAAGATTCGTTCCTTGCATAGATTCTCTATAAGGAGTGCCATTTTCAGAAAGGTCCACTTAGAATTGTGTCTTTTGTCAAATCTCAACCTGAATACATGATAGTTGTTGCTGCAGGTGCAGTCTCACCCACAAAACCCAAGGTTCCCTCTCAGGATTTCCCTCCGTGGTTAAGGCATGACCCTAGAGCCGATGTCTAGGGCTCAGATCTTATCTGCCAGCGGCATTTGAGGCAAGGTGCTTAAACTCTCTTGTGAAGTAATGTAGAAACCTCTCAATAAACATCAGACTCCATCTCAGGTGGCTATCTACCACCATTCTGACAGAAACTAGAAGACTCTAGATATGAAAATTGGGCAGCCTTCACCCAGCTGTCTGGTAACCCCTGACAGTGTGCCATATTTGGGTCTATGAGTATATATAAATCTGTTTTCTGAAAAAGAGGTCTACAAAGTGGTCAGGGATCCAGAAAAGACCAAGAATCCCTATCAGGAATTACATTTCTAATGTTGCTCGATAGGGTGAGTTTGATTGGGGGAAGATGGGATGTTAGGTTGACCTAGGTGACTCCACTGACACCCTCCATGGGCTCTGTGTCTGTCTTGGTCAGAGTCAGAGCCTGAGCCTTATCAAGGAGCCAACCACCAACCCTTTGCCCTTCATGTCCACACATCAAGTCAGCACTTATACAAAAAAAGGAAAGCACACTTCCCCCAGAGATAATGGGCAAGATCCTTCAAGACTTTTGTTTTTTTAAAGGAACCTAAAAACTTCTGAGATGTCAGGGCCTGACCATGGGCCACCCTAGCTGAGCCAGCAGGTTGTGTAGACCAGTGTTCCTCAAAATGCGCACACAAATCCCTGGAGATCTTATTAAAATTTGGATTCTGACTCAGGAGCTCTGGGGTGGACACTGAGATTCTATATTTCTGACAAGCTCCTGGATGATGCCAGCTGCTAGCCAGTAAACTACACATTGAAGGCTACAGCATGCTGGCCCCACTAACCCAGCTCCAAGAAGCTAATTCACGGGCCCCCAACACCCTCTCTCCTGGCATCCTCTCCCAGGTCCCTGCTTCCTGATGGCCACTCAGCCCAGCCCACAGAACCTCCAGCTCACTGGCATGTAGCATTGTCACTACAATGAATGAGCAGCTTTGAATTTGATATGGAGAAACCTTCATGTCTGTAGCTTGTTCCCTGGGCTCCCTCGACTGAGACGATGGTTGCATTAGGACGTGAGGTTCAGAATTACTGCAGGGGAGAGAGTCCCAAAACACGCAGCCCAAGTGTGGAAGGGCTGGGACCAGTACTAGGCTCTGTCTGGGAGCTGAGATGGGTGGGCCGAGTATCCTCACTGTACCCCCCGAGGTGGCCTGTATGGAGGCACACTGTGGATGCCCAGGAAGCACGAGTTGGATCCAAACCTGCCATTCGAGCTGGGTCTTTTCTTTCTGGTGGGGAGAACCGACAGCAGAGGCCACAGCAACTGGGGCAGTGTAGGGGGCCTCCCCATGCTTGGAGGGGTCCTGGGAGTGTCTGGGAGTCAGTGTCAGGACCAGGTGGTTGTCCTTTGGGTTGGGGCCCCAAAACAGCTCAAGCTCAAGCTGTTTTTGAATAGGAAGTCCTGCTTGGAGAAGCGCATTACACAACAGGAGGTTTCGTTCTTCAGGTGGGTGGGAGATGTTCTGCCTGCCTGGAAGCAGCACATTCTGGAAATGGCAGAGCCGCGTGTGGCTGGAGCCGTCGAGTGTTGGGCAGAGTGCGGCCAGGCCGTGGATGGTCCTGGGGGCCCTCTTGAAGGAGACTGAGGGCAGCAGGGAGCTGTGCAGAGGTCTGAGCCTTCGCTCAGTGTGACCTGGTCAGTGTGTGACGTGATCTGCAGCCAGGTGTGGAGACCAGAGGCAGGAGCCAGGTCAGGCAGAGGCTGGGCAGAGGTTTGGTGGGGTGGGGAGTGGCCGTGTGGGGACAGTGACAGAGGGGGGACTTCACAGTTGTAAGGATGAGAGGGGACATAACTAGGGCAGAGGCACCTTGTGTCCTGGCTTCTCTGAAAGAAGTGCTGTTGCCCCTCCCTCACCCCCAGAAGAGCCCCTGGGCGAATGTGTGCAGGGTACAGGGAGGGGTTGAGGTTGGAACTCTGGGAGCAGACCCCTGAGGGCCAGGCAGGGTCAGAGTCAGCTCTGGGATCTGGCCCCAAGCCCAGGACTGGCCCGAGTAGGGGGTGCCTCAGGAGCAAACTCGGTGGGGGCTTTGAACAAGTCCCTTGGGTCCCTGGCCTCAGTTTCCCTGCTTTACAGTCCAGGCCTGGACCTATGAGTTTGCCCGGGGTCTGGGCAGTCCCTGGTGTGGGCAGAGGCAAGGGAGGGTCCTTGGGACAGCCTGGCCTACATGGAAGCCTCTGGGAGGGGTGTGGGACGCCCAGCTCAGACGGGCCCAGTTATGGGTTTTTCTTTCAAGGGGCACACATGGGCTTGGCTCTGTCTTGCATTCCACGAGAGCAGGAAATTCAGACAGCAGGCGTTTCTTCTCCCTGGAAAGGGTGGTTGGCAAGTGCCTGGAGTGTGGCCTATCTGAAATGTCCAGGGCTTCAGGCCTTCCTCATTCAGTGAACAGAATTCAGCAGGCTTCTCAACCACCTGGGACAGAGACAGAAACAGAAACAGGAGCCCTCTGCTCCATCCCTTCAGTTTCCAAAGGCCCTCCCCATCCAGGATCTCATCGTGGCTTCCCAAGGTACAGGCAGGATAGGAATGTGTTCCACACCTGCGGAAACTGAGGCCCTGAGTAGAGAAATGACTTGCCCAAGGTCACACAACTAGTCAGGAGAGGAATTTGAATGGAGGTTGGTCTGTCAGTTTGTCTCAGAACAGGACTTGGCAGGGTTGATGAAGCACCATCTGGCTGCCGTAAGCCATGCCCTGCTCTTCACATCTTGCCCCCATTTCAGCAGAGGCCCCTATTTTGAGTGACCAGGAGCAGATCCCACTTTATCTTGGTGAGATATGGATTCATGGGCTTCCTGGTGTTAGAGGCCAATTCAGGCACTCAGCAATTCTTTGACCACCTGTGTTGAAACCGTTCCCTGTGCTGGGAATACAGTGTGAACAGGAACAGTCTGGTGCTTGTGGGGGCTCTCAGATCCTGACTTGGAATAAGAACTCTACTTTGTCGTGGCTGCAAGGCTTGGGCAAGGAGCTCCCAACCCCTGAGCCTTCTGGCTCATCTGAAAAAGTAGATGTTAGAGGGAAAGTAATACCTCCTTCACTTCACAGAGTGATAGAAGTGTGAGGGATGCCTGGGCACCCCTGGCAATAACCAAATATTATTCCCCAACCTACCTCCCCACACAAACCAAGCTGAAGGAACCTGGGCCCAGACAGGTACAGTGACTTGCCAAGGTCACAGGGATATCGCTGGCAGAGATGGGACCCAACCCAAGTTCCTTTCTGCCCCTTAGGCATTTGACTGCTTCTCTGCCCAGTGGATCCCACACTGGTCTGGGGGAAAGAGGTCTTAACAGGGCTCCAGGTAACAGACAGGAAGTGGGTAGTGCGTAGGCCATCGACCCACCCCAGGCCTGGAAACTAGTCGAGCGATGCTGGGCTGGTGGGACCATCTGTGGCCACGTGGCCACCTGGGCTGGCTCTGGGCTCAAAGGTAAGAGAACCAGTCTTGGGCAACATTAGCTCGTTAGAAAAAAACTGTTTAATGGTTTAGGAATGTGTACACTCTGGCTCTGCTAAGTTTCCATAAAGGCGACTTTTCCATGTTTTAAAAAATAGATTTGATATAAAGATTTATATATTCATAAATAGATATGAAAAATTCCCAAATGCAAATGGCATCCTTGGGCTGGCTGAGGCCCTCTCCACCCCCAACAGTCCAAGCTGGCAGGGCTCAGAGGGTCCCTGAGGCCCCACCCCTGGCAGCCCTCCTGGAGAAGAGTAACTGAATTCAATATGAATTAGGAGCTTCCTCCAGCTCAAAGCCTGCTGGGGCCAAACCCCCACGTCCGGGAGGGCAGGGACCCACCTCTCCGGCTTAGGAGTTAGGATCTGGGCCCCTCGCCCAGACCACTCCTCCTCCCGTGAGCATAAAATACCAGCTTCCCTCTTGTTCTCCTTCAGCTCATGTCATCCCAGCCCCACCCAGACCACAGACGGCCCTCCTCCAAGCCTGGGCTGCCCTGCCGGGACACTGCCTGGCTGTCCTTCCCTGGCCCACTGCCCACACCCTGGCCCCCCATCCCGCCTGCTCCTGTTCTTAGGTAATTTATAAACAAAGGAAGAGATTCAACTGTTCTCTTGCCCAGAGGCCCTGGGATGCTGGGAGAGGAAACAAGTGAGTCTTGTTTCCGGTCACACATGCTTCCCATTTTCTCTTACCCCATTTGACACAGGACTAAGGCCCAGAGAGGTAGTGAGACCCTGGCTTGACGGGGCACTACAGAGCAGACACCCCATGTGACCTGCAGTCAAGACCACACCCCAGGCCAATCCCTGAGGACTAGCATTCGTGACTGAAGTTGAGGGCTGGGGAAACATTTCTTGGAACGTGTAGGAAATGGCTTCGGCCCAGGAAGTGTGTGTGTGTGTGGGGGGGGGGGGGGGGGGGACCTCACAGACCAAGGCGTGGGGAAAGAACTCATTTTTGCTAGGGCTACTATGAGCAAGGGACTAACTTGGGATGGGGCCAGTTCTCAGGGGTATCCAGCTGGATTCTACATGACATGAATAGAAAGGCAGGGTCAGCAAGTGGGGGGAGGGCAGGAAGGGGTTGGCCTGCACAGAGGGTGTTCCTGGGGGACAAGGGGGTACTGGAGAAAAGCCAGGGCAGAACTGTGAAGGCCTTGGACATCTGCGTGAAGCGTAGACAGCATTCTGAGTGCCCCAGGGCACCCTAAAAGGTACTGGGGAGGGGGGACAGGACCAGAAGTGACCTTTCACAACTGCCACTTTGACAGCAGCTGGAGGGTGGCTTGGGGAAATGGAGGCTAGAAGCCCAGGGGCCGAGGTCGTCAACGAGATGTCCAGGTGCGAGGACGGGCCTATCTGGAATGGAGGGCAGGGCACTGTGGAGGTGGGACCCCAGCACTGTGGTAAGGTGGGGGGAGAAAGTGAGGAGCCCAAAGTGACTTCTGACTTCCCGGCTAAACCCCTTAGTGAGGTTGCTCCCATGCAGGGAGGATGGGGTGGCAGGAGAGCCACTTGGCCCAGTGTTTTGGACATCCTGGGATTGTGAAAGGGGAGGAAGTGAAGTATTATTTCCTTGGTTTCTGGGTAAACCACGAGGTTGCCAGTGAGAAGAAACCTCCCTGGTTCCAGGCTGGGTCGGCTATCCCTTCCCCCTTCTGTACAAGGTTTCAGGTCTCCCGCCCCTCGGGCAGGAGGAGAAGGGGGCCGACTCATATTCCAAGGTGACAAGTGAGCCCGTCAGCAGCCAGCTACCTGTTCCTGTGCCTCCCCTGGATCCTCATGGCAGCTCAGGGCATCCATGTGAAGAAGGGGTAGAGGGGCCTCCCTCTCTCCCTAAACCCTGCGAGGCAGCCCCAAGGCAGAGCGGGGCAGCAGGTAGGTATGAGCAGGCTCAGTACTTTACTCAGCTGGAACTGGGGCTGCAAGTCAATCACAGGGGTGCAGGCCTGGGCCTCTGCTCCAAGACCCCTTGCATGTTTTCCTACCTCCCAAAGCAACAGGTCTCTGCAAGGTAGGGTTTCATGAGACTTCTCTTCCAGCTGGGGCCTGGGTTGAATATGCAGCTCTGCCCAAAAATCAGCCCCTAGCAGAGAGGTCATGGGGCTGGAGGGCCTTTGCTTTTGGCCTGAATGGAACCCTCTTTAGGGAACCCCTCATTGACAGCAAGGGCAGGTACTTTCAACTCTGCAGGTGGAGTCCAGGTACTGCAATGGAGGGGTCAGTGAGGTATCAACTCTCCCTGCCAGCAACTGGGCCCCTCCCATCAGCAAGGCTGCTGAGGAAGGGAGCCAGGCAGCCTTCTTGCTCCCAGCTCCTGCCTCACCCTAGCCCACGGTAGGCTGACTCCCCTCACGGCAGACCCCTGTTCAGCAGCTTCTGGCCTGGCCAGGCCAACATCCCTCCCTTCCAGAAACAGCCTCAGCTGTTCCATGGCTGCCTCTCTGCCTGAAAGGGAGTCACCGGCCCTGCGTGTCTCGGTCCCAGCTGTCCACCCACAACCCTGCCTCCCCCAACTGCTGTGGGGCTACTGCAAAAGGTCTGGCTTTTTGCTCTGCAGCCAGGCCTGCCTGGGAGAGGAGGCGATGCAGATCAAAGTGGTTGGAGTGAAAGAAGGCAAGGAAAGTCTGAGCTGGAGTACTGCAGCCGGCTTTGGGGACTGGGACTAAGCCTGGAGTGCAGTCTGGGCTCTGATAGGCTCTGGGCTGCCTCTCTCCATGATGTGACCAACACCGTGGCTCTGAGAGTAGTTTATTTCCTGGGGCCCCAACTGAGAGACCAGAAGGGCTGGACTGGGCTAACATGGAAGGACTGGGATTGGCTTAGGAAGATCACCTGCCTCCCTCAGTCCAATCCTTGTAATATTGAGCTACTCAGCAGAGACCAGTGCTGCATCTAGGATCCCCAGTGATCTTGGCCCCAATCTGCCTTGTAACCTTAGACTCAGGGCACACTGAGGCTATTGAGGGGAGGTGGGCCCAGGAGGGTGGGTAAAACAGCCAGAGCCAGGATTGCCACCGCGTAGCCATTTTTGTTTGAGAAACTCTATAAGCTAGACTGGGAGCTGTGGGAGAACTGACACTTTAAACATGGCAGGTAAGATTTCTGCACATGGGTTAAAACTGAGTGTTCTGGAGGTCCTACTCAGACCTGAGCCTCAAGGATGCAAGTTTTTACTTTTCCCTTAAATGTCCATGTTCCTATCTCATTCCCTCTACCCCCAAGCTTCCGAGAGCTGGTACTGAATAAGCTGGTTTTGCAACACAAGTGGCAAAACTTTGGGCCCCAAGACAGCAGACAGTCCCCGCTTGGCTTGGCCATGCCCCCATACTTGCACGGATAAAAACAAGAAGCTACATGGAAAACCAGAAAGCTTGAGAGGTCTTGCTAAGGCAGCAAGCCAGGCCACATGGTGTCTGTGAGCTTAGAGCTGGCAGTGAAGAAAGAAAGTTCCTCGCCTGGAAGGAGCTAGGGCTTCTCTGGGGCTGTGCTCAGGAACCGGTCTATTGGTCTGGTTGCTCTTGTTCTCTGCAGCTGCATGTGGAGGCCCTGGAATGACCTGGGAGAACCCAGGGCACCAGCCACATCCCTGGAAAGCAGCAACCTGTTGCCATAGCTGCAGCAGACACAAGGTGCAAAATGGTCAGAACCAGTATATGTGGAGCAGAGGAGGCACATTCCTGGTCCCTCTCCCACTGCAGTCCACACTGGCGGGCTCAGGCCAGCCCTGGAATGTGAAGAGCATGGAGAGAACAGCCACTGACTGGCAGGATGGGCCCCATACCCTACCCTGTGCCAACAGGCCTCTGGCAGGAGAAATCCTACTTCTTCCTTCCTTGGAATAGCTTTCCCATTAAGCATCCAGGCCATGGGATGAATAATTCTAGGACTTTATACAGTTGCTCTAGAATCACTGGTGCCCTGAAGGGCCAGCTCTGAAGGGCCGGGCTTGGCAGGCCACAGAGAGAGAGGAGGCGGGGAGGCCCCTGCCTGCCCTGCCCTGCACGCCGGTCAGCACCCGCAGCCCCAGCTTTCTCCAATGTCCTTGCTATCCAGCTGGATGTGGTCAGTGCTCTTCTCACTGAGCAGAGGGCCCCCGTGCCTCATGACCAGCTCCGTGGCCACCCTCACGAAGGCCTCCTCCACGTTGCTCGAGTCCTTGGCAGACGTCTCAATGGCACACAGGATATCGTAGTGCTCTGCCAGGCTCTGCGCCTCAGCCAGAGGGACCTCCCGGAGCTCGCCAAGGTCCGACTTGTTCCCTGTAGGGAAAGACCAGGTATAGCTTGTTGAGGCTCACAGGTGTCAAGTGCAAGCTGAGAGACCCAATGCCATCCACTGCCCTCTGTCAGCTATTAGTTGTGCATGGTAATCTATCTTTTTTAAAAAACAAAAACCTTTTTTATTTAAAGCTTTTATTCTATGCTTTAGTCCCCTGCTTTTTAATCTCTGCCAGAGGCTTATATATTTTATTGCTTCTTTCTAAGAAACAGAAGCAGTAAAGTTTAGAGAAAAGAATACAGTTCTTCCACTTTAGAGCTGAAAGAAAACCTGAGTCGGTTTTCTTTTCAGCTTCCTATCACTTCCTGTGTGACCCTTAGATAAGTCACTTCATCTCTGAGTCTCTGTTTTCCAATCTATGATGCCACCTTCAGCAGAGTAGGGATTAAATGATACAATAAACATGAAAATAACAACTGGCACTTGGCAGGCACTCCATAAATGTGGAAGTTAACAAAGAAATCTGGCATTGCTAACTTTTTTTTTGGGGGGGGGGCTAAAATTTTGTTATTATGATTATTATTTATTCTCTCTTATTTTCCTTTGGAATTTTTTTATTCTCTATAAGATTGTGGTTTCTGGTTATTTTGCTTTTATGATAGTAAGAGCACAGTCTCTCACTTTACCTGAGAGTACATCTTTAGCTTCTTCTACAGGCGTAAAATGTTTCACTACATTCTAAATCATCTGATAAACTGCTCCTTGACCCAATTTCTAAGAGAATTTTTTTAAGTTTCTAACTGGTTGACTTTTATAATGTAATTACAGGGAGGACAAAGAAAAATAGATAAGTGTCTATAAAGATCTAAAATTTCTTTGGTAACCTTAAATGATGCAGCAACAGGGCCGGCCGAGTGGCGCGTTGGTTAAGAGTTGGCTTGGGAGCGCCAGCTCTAAAGTAATAGGGCCCTGGTTCGGATCCCACATGAGGGCCAGTGATGCTGTACCCTCTACAGCTAAGATGGTGAACAACAGCTCAACCTGGAGCTGGGCTGCCATGAGTTGCCGGCAACAGCTTATGCTGCAGCCTCTGCTACAATGGGCTGCCGTGCTACCATGAGTGGCTGGCAGCTGGCGTGAACGGCCAGCAGCCCCTAGAGCTGCCGTGGGCCGCCATGAGTGGCCGTCCAATGGCTGGCGAGTAACCTGCCTCACCTGGGAAGAATGCAATAATAATACCAACATGGGCCAGTGAAGTAATGTCCTCCACAACTAGATTAAAGAACAAAAGGACAGCAACTTGTCCGTTTCCCTTTCCCGATTCCCCAACGCTGTTCTCCTCCCCCAATTCCCCAGTAAAATCTTTAAAAAGAAAAAGAAAAAAAAAAAAAAGATGCAGCAACCAATTTCAATGTGTAGAACTTAGGCTGATTTCAACAAACTAAAAAACAAAACAAAACAAAACCCATGTTATTTAGGAGTAATTATATATCTGAATACAGATCAGTGATTTAATTTTATTAAGGAAATGTCAATATTTTTTAGATATAAAAATGGTATTTTTATATATTTTTAAGTGTTTGTATCTTGTATAGATTCATCCTGGAATATTTTCCGATGAAATAGTTTGGTGTTGGGATGTACCAGAAAGACAATACAAGGGAGGGAGGGGATGATGGTGGAGATGAAATGGGACAGGAGTTGCTAATTGCTGAAGCTGTGTGATAGGTACCTGGGGTTTATTACGCTATTTTATTTTTGTATAAAATGCTTTATAATAAAATATTTTATTTTAAATGTCCTGGATAAAAGAGAAGTGTAAGGCTGGATAAGAAGAGCCCAGGGAGTCCAGCTCTGCGGAGTGCTTCCACACCCCAGTCGAGGCAGGCTGTGGAAGGCAGGCTGCATGGAACCAAGTGCCACCCTTTTCCCAGCTGGAGCCACATCCAGGCTCCATCTGTACAATCTCATCTTAGAAGAATCAGCCTGATTTTTGGGGTGAGAACCACAGGGACCACACAAATGGCCCAAAGGTTCTTGAGCCCAGGTCTGGGAATTTTATGTAAGAGGAAAAGGAAAAATGGAGGTAACAGCATACCTCTACAGCAGCAGTTATCAAAGTGGGGTCCCTGAGCCAGCAACACAGATGCCACAGGCATCACCTGGGAACTTATTAGAAATGCATATTCATGGGTCCCACCCAGACCTCCTGAATCAGACATGCTGGGGGTGGTCCCCAGCACCTGTGTTTTAAGGCTTTGGAGACATGCAAATGTTTGAGAAGCCCTGCTCTGCAGTGTGATATGACAAAGCAAGTCACTGAATTACGATCAGCAGAACAGAAGTCAAATTTCACCTGTATGTATGTATTCACAGGCTGTTTGAACTGGAAAAAATTACTTCACTTCTCTGAGCCTTAGTCCCATTTCCTGACTAACAAGGAGTAGCCATGGTTATGGGAACTAAATCCAAAGACACGTGTGAAGATTTAACCAGTATTAACCATTGTATGGATACATGCACACAGCAAAGCAAATGTTAGCTTATTTTCTTCCTTCTTCTAATTCCAACTTTGAATATAACTTAACAAGTGATTAGCAGGACAAGAATTTGCAAGATCATCATTCCAGTTCTGGCTCCATTCCTGCCTAGCCAGGCTCAGCCCCTCTCTGCACTCTCGCTTGCCTTTTCAAGGCGAGAGAAACTGAGACAGACAAACAGGATCTGTGGCCCTGAGGAACCCTGCCAGTCCCCTCCCTGTTCCCCCGGCTCACCAATCAGCAGCTGCACAATATTGGAGCCTGCATACTTCCTCACATCTTCAATCCAGTGAGGCACCGACACGAAGGAGTTCCTCTTGGTGATGTCGTAAGCGAGGATGGCCCCATTGGCACTGCGGTAGTAGCTCTGGGTGATGGTGCGAAAACGCTCCTGGCCAGCTGTGTCCCAGATCTGCAGCTAAAAAATTAGGGAGCCTCCCATGAACTTGGTGACATGGCCAAGCACAAGGGACAGGGAAGGCAATCCCACACACCCATGCCCAAAGAACTGGTTCCAACTGGCAGATCACCAGCCCAACCTTGACAAGAATCACACAGGAGGGGGACCAGAAGACGGACAGAAAGAGAGAGAAGGTTTTCTGAGCCCTTAGAAAACAACTCAGTGGCCCGGCTTTGAAGACAGGAGGATGAGAAGGTAGGCAGCCCCATCTCTCCTAGTCCCCAGGGAAAGGTGGTAAGGGGGCAAAGGATGTATTCTGCACTGCAGCAGGAAGTCCACTCGACCCAGGGTCCTCTGTGTGCCCTTCCTCCCCTAAACACTGAGCTTGCCGTGAACCAGAAGAGTTCCAGCAGCTCAGAGTCCGGTGAGCTGCCATGATGCTGGCTGGCTATGTGCACATCTACTGCCTTTCCCTCTCTGGGCTTATCAATGCACCACTGTACCCAGCTGTGTGTAAGGCTCCCCCAGAACGAGAGTTCTCTACTTCTGCCTCAGCAACACCTGGGAAGATGCTCACAACCTGGTGGTAAAGGGGCCTGGGCTGTGGCAATGAAAGCCTGGGGAAGGCAATGGAAAGGGTCCTCTTGAGGGGTCTTTATCATCAGCTGGCTCAGCTTGGCTAAAGGCAAGGAGCTTGGGGTCTTTTCCTGCCCATGCCTTCACTTAACACCCATTAGTGCCCACTGCCCAGCCCTCCTGGACATGGAGGAGAGGTGCCTGTGTGTGGCAGGAGCTTCCCCGGCTTTCTTAGAAGCAGCAGTCTTGCAGGATAGACATGAGATAGAGTAGCGGGAGGGGCTGGGCCAGGGCAGTCCTGGACCTATACTGTGCCCAGGCCAGGCGACCTCCCACTCCAGGCAGAGAACACCAGCTCTGGGACTGGGAGAGATGGACTGTGGATGGGTATCAGAGCAAGCAGTTACCAGTGTTCTCAGGAGCTCAGGGTTTGCCTTCTCTACTCCACAAATCAGATTATTGGGGCTCTCTGCTTTGGTAGAGGGATAGACCAAGCTGCTGGTCTATCCCTGCTCCTTAGCTGGTGCAAGCATTCTCAGTGCCTTTTTATCTAGTTCTCAAGGTGTGGGAGGCTCCCTATTCTGTCTGGGGTGGGGACAGAACCCAGAGGCCTCAGACAGTTCCTCAGGGCAGGGAGGTGAAAACCTCTTCCCTAGGCCCCACCAAGAGAAGTCCAAGAGTTAAGGAGCTCTGGGCCACAACATGACAAATATTGGGTCGTTGGGAAAGTCATGATGTATTTTTCTATGTTTTTCAATGCAAAAATGCGTCATGACTTTCCCAATGACCCAATAAAATCCTCCAGTGCCGAGGCTTCCTATTTACTCCTTAGATGTGAGAGGCTCCAAGGAAACCAGGCTCTGTACTCTTTAAACCATGGCGTCTGCTAGCTCATGCATGGCGTGAAGCAAAATGTTTGAACTTTGGCACTACACAAACCTGGGATCCAAACGACCAATAACTCATCTCCATACCCCAGAAGAGAGCATATAAAATGAAAGATAAAGGCCAAACATAGAAAAAAGCAACATGGAGGAAAAGGCAAAACAAATCCCTCAAAAACAATCATCAATATTTTCAGAGATAGAAAAGATCCATGAAACAATAATAGAACACCTTTTTAAAAATTTTTAAGTAGAGGGAGCATTCAGAAAGAAAAAAAGAGCTCTGAAAATTAAAAATGTAACATAAATGAAAAACACAACATAAAATAAAAAATACAACATAGTAAAGAAAAAATACAAAGAGGTGGAAAAGAGAGAAGAAAATTATAAAACCAGCCTAGAAGGTCCAATATTGGATAGTAAGAGTTTCAAGAAAAAAAGAAAAGTAAATGCAAAGAAATACTTCAAGAAAATTCCCCAGAACTGATGGAAAGGGCCCACTAGGTACACACACAGTGGAGGAAAACAGACCCAAACAAAACAAGATAGGGGATTCCAGAACAATGGGGAAGAATCCAAAAAACTTCCAAAGAGGGGGAAAAAAGGAAAGAAAAAACAGGTTTCAAGGTTTCACACAAAAGATCCACATGGCATTAGATATTCAATGAAATAATGCCTAAAATTATGAAGGAAAATTATTTCCAACCTAGAATTCTCTACCCAATCAACTATCACTCAAGTGCGATAGTTTAATAAAGGCATTTTCAGGCATGTAGGCTTCAAAAAATTTACCTTCCTGCCACCCTTTCTCAGGAAACTACTGAAGGTTCCTTTAATCTAAAGAAAGCACCCAAGACTAAGAAAATGTGGGCTCCAGAAAACAGAGAGTTCAACTGAAAAGAGAGGCAAAGTGAATTCCCAGGATGGTGGTAGAGGAAGATCCCAAGAGAACAGCGAGCCTGGACATCAACTCATCCAGAGCAGGCTCCAGGGCTCCAGGGCAGCTTTCAGTTCTGGCAGAGTAATCAGTAGCAGACAAGCCTTCCCTCCATAAACAACCATTAGATTGAGAAAAATAGGGGAGGCTGCCATTTTCAGGATATAAACAATAAGCAGCACAAAACTGTAATCCTGAAAGAGGCAAAACTCATGAAATGCATCTCATGATCACCACAACTCTCTACTTGGGGACAGATTCCTTACCACAGGACAGTGGGACAGAACACAAACCGAGCATGGTGGACCCACTGAGCCAAGAAGACAAAGACTAGAGTCTCCAGATGTGATGGATGGAACAAAGCAGGAGGTGGGAGAACCCAAAAGTCTAAATGTGGTGGGAAGAGGGGGTGTCCGGGATGCACAGGGTGAGACTGCCAGAATCTCACCACAGAGTGGCTCCTACAGGGTTGAGAACAGACCAGACATAGACATAGACATAGAAGTTGAGCAATGCTAGAGGATCAACCCAGCCATGGTGAAGAGGCCTCCTTAGCACCTTGTTAATGACCCAGATATTAAGCTGAGACATCAGGAAGGCTGTACCTTGTGAGTGAGAAACATGGCTATAGGAAGGCCTCCATAAACCTACCTCAGCAAAGCCTGAAACCAAGACCCAACACAAGTCTCAGATTTGGAGGCTGAATTCTGTCAAATTAGTGAGGTAAGAGAAATACCCTCAAACTTCTACATATCTGCCCTAACAAAACATAAAAACAAACCTACACAGGTCCAAGGTGATAACCCAGTAATTGAACTGACTACTAAGACATGAATCAACACTCTTCAAAAGAAGATAACAGAATACAGGATCTCTACAAGGTATCAACCACTGTTTCCAGTATACAATCAAAAACTTCTAAATAGAAAAAAGAAAAAAAAAAAAACAACAGGAAAATTTGACCCACGAAGAAAAAAAGCAGTCAATAAAAAATGATGCCAAAATGGCCCAAATATTAAAGTTAATAGACAAAGACTTTAAAGCAGTTATTTTAAATATGATCAGAGAATTAAAGGAAAATATGTGCAAGAAATTAAGGCAAAAATGATCATAATGGGTGAGTACATTGGGAATTTCAGCAGGGAAATGGAAATTATTTTTAAAGACATATAAAAGAGACTCAAAGTTCTAAAACTTAAAAGTACAATAAGTGAAGTGGAAAATTCACTCAATAATCCTAATAGCAGAATAAAGATGGCAGTAAAAAAGAATCTGTGATGTTGAAGAAAAATCAATATAAATTATTCAATCTGAAGAATAAAGAGGAAAAAATTGAAGACAATATCAAATTGGGATAATAGCAAACAGTCTCATATTCACATAATTGCAGTCCCAGGAAAAGGCAGTAAGAATGTGGCAGAACTAATGACTTACAATTCCAAATTTGATGAAAATACTGATTTAATGATAAAAAAACTCAGCAAACCCCAAGCAGAAGAAATATAAAATATACCTTAGCAAATCATAGCCAAACTGATGAAAACCAAAGGTCAAATAGAAAAATTTTAAAGCAGTTGGGGGTTGGGGGGAAGACATATTATATGCAGGAAAACAACAACAAAAATTACAGGTGACTTCTCATCAGAAATAATGAATGCCAGAAGATAATGATGAAAAGGGTTGAAAAGGAAAAAAAAGGTACCTAAAGAAAAAACTCTCAACACCAAAGTCTATATCCAGGGGAAAAAAATCTCTCAAAAATGAGGGTGAAGGGCCAGTTGAGTGGCTCAGTTGGTTAAGAGCACAAGCTCTGAGCAATAGGGCCGTGGGCTCGATTCCCACACGGGCCAGTGAGCTGCGCCCGAGCTGAGCTGCCACTGAGCTGCCAATAGGTGGCAGCATGGCTCAGCTGGTGAGAGCACGTGCTCCTGACAACAAGGTTTCTGGTTAGACTCCCGCATGGGTGGTGGGCTATGCCCACCCGCAACTAAGATTGAACATGGCACCTTGAGCTGAGTGGCTGCAAGCTGCTACCGGGCGGTTGGATGGCAACTGGACTTGGAGCTGCACTAGCTGAGCCCTCCACAACTAAGACTGAAGGACAACTTGGCTGTTCCCCTTCCCCGATTCCCCAATAAAATCTTTAAAAAAAAAAATGAAGGTGAAATAAAGATATTTTCAGGTAATTGAAATTGGACAGAATCTTCCTGGAAGACTCACACAACAAGAAATACTAAAGGATATTCTCCAGGATGAACGCTGATGATACTAAATGGAAACTCAGGTCTACAAAAGGAATGAGAAGCACCAGAATGGTAAATAATGACATACATAAAATACTGTTTTTCTTCTTGTAAATTCATTATAAGACGACTGACATTAAAGTTATAAATAATGACTGTAAAGTGGGGTTTATAATGTATTAGAAATAAAAAACATGACCAGGGCCAGCCGAGTGGCGAGTTGGTTAAGAGCTGGCTTGGGACGCCAGCTCTGAGCAGCAGGGCCCCAGTTCGGATCCCACATGAGGGCCAGTGACACTGCCCTCTACAGCTAAGAT